GCCATTATTAGATGTGACAGGGGTATTCACACTGTGGGTGCAAGTATTTCATAACAAATTGTAAATCAAATATATGTGTAATTTTTAGCAAAGGTTGATTACACTGATTTCTGATGTAAGATGAGCTACCTAAACGTATGTCAGCTATAGAATAAGGGTTATCCATTTGTTCCACTCAGTATCGTACTTCTGAAGCAAGAGAAAACTTGGCTCCAGTCTCTCAACAGAAACTCATTCGCAAAAGTAGGATGTACCTTACCAAAAGCGGGAGAAAGAAGCAGCAGCCACTGTGATTCACTTACGTTTCTGGAGGAATGTACACTATTAAAAACTAAATTTGATAGTGCAGGACTTTCCACACTCTAAACACAGCTAGTAGGAATATATACATCTATATATGCATATAACAAAAGTGATGAGGAAAACCTGCTCCCAAGTCTGTGTTTGCTAGCATTGAGTATTCAAAATGACATCCAAAGCACTTCACTTCTGTTCCTCATTGGTTCATTCATTTGTGTCAATGTAATATTCACACAATTACAAACTATGATGAACAAGTCCCACTCTGAAACTTGAGCCCTAAAGGCTGCATATGTTATCCAAATATATAACCTAGAGCTAAGAACATTGGGATTCTTTCAACCACAAATTTATGTAATTTCAATTATTTCTAATGTTGCAATAGAAGCATCATGTTTAACTCATTATAGCTCAGAACATTTTTCTACTACGTCTTCTGGAAAAGAAATACCATTCTTCAAAGTTCCACAATTGTTGTAGCCTTCAGCAAAATACATTTCTTACCTTTATTAGCACAATCTTTACTATTAAGCCATTTACCTAAGTTAGTTTTTGACTGACTCTCTAATCTTCTGACTGACAGGATTATAGACATAATGTGTTTCCTCAAGGGATTTTTCAACTTACAGAATCAGTCTGCAAATTTCTCACTGTCTAAATTATAACCCTTGATTTAATGTCATCCATTTACACATCCTCAAAAACATGAATAGAGGGAGATTGTATTTCTACAGGTGGTTCCCCATGGCCCTTTGCCAACAAAAGCTTAGGAGCTTATGACAGTGAATTACACTTCAGAAACCATCCTAATTTTTGTAGCTAAATTTGATGTTGCTTTGTCACCACTGCCTGAAAATAGTCAGAGACTGGGAGATGCCTGGGTGCCTCAGAATACCACTTACAGAGACAGGCCCTAAGTAAGATAGCTGCAACCCAGATAAAAGCTGGCAAGACTAGCTAATCACATGGATGTATTTGCATCAGGTAGTGCACGCCACAGCAGACAGTTTTAATGAAAAACATAGTGGAAAGAGCAGACAAACACCTGCAGCACACACATCTCCCCTTCCCCTTCCCCAATAAATAGATGTTGTATGAACATAGAAACACAAGCTCCCCAGTAAGGGTAAGCAAGGAAAAGATCTACAGCAGGTCTGCAGAGAGGGCCTGCAGGGAGCAGAATCATAGAATCATAGAATCAGCCAGGTTGGAAGGAATGTCTGAGATCATCAAGTCCAACCCTTGATCCAACACCGCTGTGGTTACTAGACCATGGCACTAAGTGCCACATCCAGTCTCATCTTAAAAACCTCTAGGGATGGAGAATCCACCACTTCCCTGGGCAGCCCATTCCAATGCCTGATTACCCTCTCTGGAAAGAATTTCTTCCTAATATCCAATCTAAACCTCCCCTGGCAGAGCTTAAGACCATGCCCTCTTGTCCTACTGCTGGTTGCCTGGGAGAAGAGATCAACCCCAACCTGGCTACAACCTCCCTTCAGGTAGTTGTAGAGAGTGATGAGGTCTCCCCTGAGCCTGAGCATCAGAGAAACAGCATGAGGTCAGGCTTTACAGCACATCCTTGGCTCCGCCCAGCTCTAAGTCACCTCTTACTGCTCAGTGACACCACAGCATCACATGGTTCATGCACTGAGCCTCAGTGTTTCCCACTAAGCACAAAAGCTGAAAACAAGCCTTTGCCCCAGTGCACCCCCATGAAGCTCCTGACACAATGCAGAGACAGGTCAAACAGCTAAAGTCAGGGTATGACTTGCAGACAAGGCCTTGCCCTTAATTTGTCAGATGCTTCAGCAATCAAGTAATAAAACAACACAGAGCCAAGTTTAACATTGAAGTACAAGTGATTCACAGTCCAACTTATACCAAGCTTAAGGATCATGCAAGTTTCTTCCCCTTGGAGGAAGGCCCACTGCCATGGAGAAGACATGGTAGAACATGCAGCAATGAAGGCTAAAGAGCAATAAATTTCAGTTCACACTAATATGTGCTGCAAATCCTAGTAAAAAGGAGTAAAGAAAATGCAGCATCTTCTATATTCCTTACACTGAAAATGGCCTTACCCAGTAATGAGGCCAACAGCTGGGGATGGGATGATGATTTACTTCTTCAACCATCCCTACATAAGACCCCAGAGTGTGCAAAATGGCCTTTACACAAAGTTGTGCTGATGAAATCAGATTGATGACTTTTTTTACATAATAAAATACTGTCAGGTATAGCTTTAATAATAATTTAAGAAATTATCTAAGTCTTTGATTAAAGATGTTATACATAGATGAGAAAGGTAAAATATTTATTCTACAGTTCAATGAAAAAATGTTCTTTTATAACAAACACAAAGATGAGTTGCCTGGTGTCTGGCATTCTCTGTGAATATTTCCCAGAATTACCAGTGTCAGCAACTGGCTAATGCAGGTATGAGTGTGTTAAACATTAAAACATAGAAAAGAGCATTTTCTGACTTAAATTTATTATGGATATTTTTGTTTTGGCATGACTTTTTAAAACACTGAGAGGATCATGGATCTTGTCAGGGTATGAGCATCATAGGGAAAGGAAGAGAAGTCTGAGAATTTTGCCTGATTAAAATGTGCAGTGGCTTGCACATTTCAATACTCATTCTGAATCTTAAGTTCCAGATAAATATTCATAACTGCATTCACCACCAGTCTGGTAATGTTGTTCTGAAATTTAGAGGCTCGATTCTCCTTGAATCCCCAGATAGGTCCTGTCCTTAAACTCTAAGCAGCAACAAAACCAACAAAATAGGTAGAACTCATACTGCTAGTACAATATCACATGGTTCAAGTAATCATAGGAGCATGGATGTCATTCTGCATCTAAAGTTTTCAGAATGCTCTCACACCGGTAGGCAACACAGGGCATATAAAGCAACATTAAACCATTTTGTCAGTATTTCAATAAAGCACCACTATTTTCCAACTTTCTTAGAAATTAACTTCACATCTCAGACATCCACACTAACCAAAAAGTCCCATCCATATAGAAGAGCTCAAATAATGCTCCCAGTCTTTCTTATTAAAAAACAAACAAACAAACAAACAAACAACAACAACAACAAAAATAAAGACACATTTCTCAGTACACATTTTTTAAGTCCTCTAGCTGTCTAGACAGTGAAATCCTACACTGCACTGTAGACTAAAGGGAAAGTGTAGCCATCTTGTTATATAACAACATAAATATGGGGGAACATGCAATCAGCTCAAAAAAGGGACTAGCTCAGAATGGAGCAAACAAAATTCTTCCTCCAACATAACAAGTCTGTGCAATTGCCACCTATAAATTTGTTACCAAGGGAAAGAGTGTAATGAGTTTCTATTGAAACAACCCAAACACTATACAGCATCACAATAGTGAATGTGACAAAATCAAATTTCAGTTTTAAAAAGTTAACAGTTTTAGGAGAATGTAAGTCTTCAGACACAAGAGATTTAAAGCCATGATGTGATGTAAAAGTTATGTAATACTAGCTCCCCATAATATCAGGGCTGTTCGCATAGCTTTTTCTGAGGTATCTGATGATGACTACAGCACTGAACTGGGATCTGATCCAGCCTGATCTGTGTCTCTTAACCCCTCTACTTAACAGGGTAGAACTAAAAATACAATAAAAATCAAACAATACAGAGACATTCTTGGTGATCCATTGCAGAGACAGTTATGAAAAGAATAATTCCCCCCCCCCTTTTTTTAACCAGAGTGGCAGAATAAACCTATTTGATTTTCTTTTTCATGTTATAATTAAATTCCCAATCATGGAAAACAGACAAACCCACTTTTTTGTTTTCACCTAGAGTTTTCTACAGCAGTCATTATTAATGCCTTTGTTAAGCAAAACTCGGGTGGAACCAAGAAAACAGGAACTAACCTGCTGCTCCTTTGAGTTTCTGATCTGGGTGTTCAAAGAACAAGGATTTGTTGCAGTCATTGGCTTGCCACCTGCCCGAGGCATTCAACTCTATCTAGCACAGTGATGCTGGAAACAATTCATGAGTAAATACACAATAACATTTGTATGTTTACAGCATCTGTCAAAGGTGTGGGTATGGTGATTTCTCTACCGTGTGTTTCCAGTGCAAGTAAAACCCATTAATTAAATTCATGCTCTTGTCCTGCTTCAAAAGGAAAAATGGAGCTGATTTATGGGCACTGACTGCTGCAGGAACTAGGAGCTGGTTTTGCTCACTCTCTCTCCTTAATTCATTTTTAAGCATCTGGATAGGTTGATTTCTCAGATTCTGATCATACAAAAGGCTGCACATCCAAAATTTCTACAAAGAAAAAGAGCTGCTCCATGCAGCTGACTGTCTGTCAGGGTTTCTCAATGCTGGCTGAATAGTGTCTACAGGAATTGTGTACCGGATTATCCCTGTGCCCAAGCAAGGGATGAAGCTGCAAAAGGTCCCGATTATAAGAGATTTCTTATCTCATAATTATTTTGCGTGTCCCAACAACAAAAATTCTAAAATGAGGGAAAGCTGCCTGCAGAACAGTGTTATATGCTGCAACAACAACAAAAAAATATCTTTTTAACAAGAGTTTCAGGGAAATTGCCACAAATACCTTCAGCTAGAGGGCATATCAATGCCTCTATTGCCACAGCAAATACATGCAAAATATCAGCAATACACTAGTGTGGTTTTTATTTCTCCTAGGTTCTTTAAACAGGAGACAGATTGCTAACATTTGGGGCTGAAATCTGGAGGTAAGCAACCAGAAGACATTTAACATCCAAACTAGGCACAGGAAACTGTGACAGAAGTGGAAAATTTTGGATACTGAACTTTCACCCTCGGCTTTTGGGAGATTTTTACTAGTAAAGAACTATATAAACATAGACAGATTATATTGACACTGCATCACCTGCCCAGCAGAGCCACATGCTGCTGCTGACACTGCCAACAAAGATCAAAGCTTCTCAGAGCTAAACCTGGGTGTTCTGTGTTTCATGCCACGCTTATAGACTCTATATTGACAGAGTGGAAGGCTGGGACAGATGAACTCTGGAACTGCCTTTCAATCAATTATTTTATGATTCTGTACTACACCTTGTAAAACATAAGGCAAATTTATTTTGTTGTGATTCATAGTCCAGGCACCAGAAAGCCTGCTATGAACAAGGATATACCATCTAAAACAGCTCATTATCACTAGTTGCCAGGAAGAAATAGAAAGTAGCCAGCATGGTCTACAAGAGTGGTGGAACAAACAGAACATAAAATTATCTCTTGCTGCCAGTGACCCAAAGGGGCCTCACTAAGACATGACTATAACTAAGAACCTCTATCTAGACATGAATGACACATGATAATGGACTGCAGGATCAACTAAACAGACAACACCATCCTAAGGTGCCTCAGCTAATGGAAAGAGGGTAATTCTCCAGAAATCTCTTGTACAACTGGCAAGACCACACAGCTCTTCCAAACAGCCTATTTTCAGCTGTGGATCAAGACCTCTCCTTTTGTCAGCTTGTTTTTACCACTCAAAAAAACAACCTGTACCTTTTCAGTTACAGATTTCAGAATTCAAGAGCTATCATTCTGATATATAAAAACTTTTTAAATTCATGAAAGATTGACAGAATTACTCACCTCAACATGATTATATTTCCTAGGTACGTTTTGTAAAGAAAATTGACTATTTGTTTCTCTTCCCCCTCAATTACCTCAGTGAACCAAGACAACTGTCATTACCCACATGTTTACTTTTCCTCATCCCTATAGAGTCCAGGAGAGAAGTGTGCAGTTTTACAGTGGAAAGATTATTTCTTCACTCCAAGCATTCATACAAACAATTTAGCATTTTCAAATTTAGCTTTGATTTCACAAAACTGCTCCATTTCTTGAACTTACAACAGAATCTTAAAGACACTGAATCCACTCCTAGCAAGGTCAGTCACAGTTTTACCATCAAAGTGCATTGAGAGCACATTAATACAACCATCTGTAAACAATTACAGAGAAACACATGGGCAGAATTGCAAAGAATGCATGGAAATCAGAGGTTTGTTCCACTGAAAGACTGTAATGAAGAGTTGAACTGATCCTAAAGACCCAAAAGAAAAAGCTATTGGACGACAGTTTGCAGTAGAGAAAATATTTGGGCAGTACCACAAAAGCACAAGGGCCAAGGCTATTAGAGAAGGGGAGGAAACTGTGAGGGGAATGCAAACTTCAGAGCATAAATTGAAGGCACTCTTGATAGCTAAGAACTTTCTCAAACTCCTAGGGTTACCATAGAATTCTAACATTTTTTATCAACGAAGGAAAACAAGTAGTGTCTACAATCAACTGATCTTCAGCTCAGCTTTGAAGTCCAAGTTATGATTTCTGGAAAGGAAGAGTTAAACTCCGTATTGTTTGAGTAAAATATGTTAGTTCTCTTTGATTGTTAGGGGGAAGGAGACTTTTCTTATGAAAAGTGCTGGTCAACTTCACACATTATATAAAGAGGGGCTGTGTGTGGTGCTTGAAAGTTGCAGGGTGGGAGCTCCTAATGGATCAGTGGCATTAGTGGATGGATCAGTGGCAACTCTCCAGCCTGTCAGAAAATGCAACACCCCATGCACACTTACACTGGAGGACACAACCTTTAAAACCAAAAACCTAGAAAGACATTCAACAGCAGCACGAGAAGTTACATAGGGAAATATTTGCTCGGTGCCAAAAAGGTTGATTTTGTCCAGCACAAAACACACCCAGGGTCTGAAGTGTACCTATGGTCTATGCCAAAGCGGGTTTAAGGTATTTCAATTTTGACTGTATGACTTCGAGATAGCGTGTTTTTCAGCAACTAAATTAAATAGAAAATGTAAATATGAACTTCTGAGAGCCTTATGATTTTGTTTAAATTCCAGGTTATTTTGGAATGGAAAAACTACTTGCTGTTTGGATCCATGACAACCATGTAGATACTAGTCACTTGCTTTAACAATCTACATCACCATGGTAAGCCATATTCCAAAGACTGGGTCTCAGGTCACTGGTAGTTGTGTTGTACAATAAGTTGGAGTGGCTGGGTATAAGGCTTCATGTTTCTGTCTCAAACACAGCAACATAAAAAGTATTAAACAACAAAAGTGAGCAGGATATGGCAACACACCTTGATTTACAAACACTGTTTTACACACCAGACAAGTATTAGGTTTCTCAGAATATCTCAAAAGGGACATTGCTAAGCAAAGATGATGGTAAAGAGAGTATTTCATTAAGATATCTGAATGTAATTTGCAGGATAAACAAGCATTTTCCAAACTATCACCAAGCAGAAGAGGAAAAAGCTCCAAATACAATAAAAAAAAAGGATATTTTTAATTCAAGTTTAAGTACAAATATAGAATGCTCTATGCCTAATCGTATTTGACACTGAGAAAATTAACTATTGGTTTAATTGAAGCTTCTACACTTATTCTTCTGTTAAATATACTGCTCTTGAGACTGAGTTTTCAGCACTCATTTTAACATTATAAGCAAACAGGTTTGCTAATTGATTGGCTCCCCTTTTCCTTAAAGAAAAAAACCTGCACACTCTAATTTTGGGTCAAAATCCAATTACACGCATCAGAAATTGACAGTGAAACCAGTTATCATTTGACATGATATAATGGATATGCTGACAACTTACCAACAGCTGTGATTTCCATCAGCTCTCCTTTTTGGCATTTCCATTTTAAATTTCCAGGGAATTATAGGAATTTCATAGAAGATTGAAAATAAACAAACCCCAATTATAAATTAATGGAAAACCCTATAGCTAACCTACAGCTTCAAAATTTGTTAAACAGACAAAAGGAATTCACAGCAGTTAAGAATGCATTTTAAAGTTTAGTTAAACAGGTTACATCTTTTGAATTTGTTAAATAAAGTCTGCATCCTTTCAACATTGGGCCATTTCCTTTCATTTTTATTTTCCTTTTATTGTATGTATAAATTTTCAGACCACAGCTTACACAAAACAAGTAAGGGCATTGAGACAGAATTACACTGCAAGTAAGATTAATTAGAGATCAAAACAAAAATTAAAAGGAGGAATCTACTTGGTAATAATAATGACAACTACATTTAAAAAAACAGAATTAATGCAAAAAAAAAGATTTAAAATGCCCTCGGTAAAAGGTTGCATAAAAACAGGAACACACCATGACTCATTCTTCATAAGCTTTATTATTTACTCCACCTACAGTACTGATGTCACCTTTAACAGATGCACAGAAATATTCTCAGCACTTTGCAACAGTACGGTAAGATTGAATAGGGCTATAAATCTCCAAAGTGCAGCACAAACATAGAGAAGAATACAAAATGGTGACATACAAGGCAAGTAAAGTGACCTTCTTGTAGGGCAACAGAGCAATGCAGTGAATTAAGGTTGAGTGAATCCCAGGTTCTTCTTAGCAATGAGTCACATCAGATATCTGGGCTGCTTATATTTGCATTTAGTTTTCAGTCTTTCCGGCTATTAACAGAAAACCTTCCAAATATCACCTACGGATCAGACACTATGCAGTGTTGCCTTCTTGAATTTGTAGGCAAACAGAAACCATGAAACTATACGGCCAGAGCTACTTTCAAACCTGGATGCTAGCTACTGAAATTTTATAAGAACTTTTCAATTTACCTATACATTCTGAGAAGTATAACTGCACAGAATATGTATGCAAAAAGAGCAGCAGAAGCAATGGCTATGTTGCTTGTACTATCCCTCCCCAGCCCCATTCAGGAGTGAACTACCTTGGCTTAGATCCTAGGAGGAGTATTCTCTGAAAGGGATCTCAAAGCTTGTAAGAACCTCCCTCTCTTACAAGAAAAGACTTGCAGATTTCACAAATGGTGCAAGTACAACTCTCCCTGGATTTCTGGTTTGTAATGTAAGTTGCACTGAGATTTTTCAAGTTACCACTAAAGCAGAAAGATGCCGAAAAGAAAGAACATGTCCCAAATTCTAAAATCCACAGAAAAATACATTGCCCGTTACACAGAAATGAGCTTGACTTGGTGATTAATAGTCATTATAGATTTGCATGCACACACAGATCCACTTGGGTGTATCCCACTCACTACAAGAAATAAAGAAAATATTTACATTTTTAAAGGAGAAAAAGCATCTGTATTGTTACACTCTAATGCTACAATTATCTCATTAATTTATTTGTATTTTTATAAATTCTTAATAGAAAACATTTTGCTGAATTTTTCATTTAGTCTGGAGCACATATCTGAAAGAACAACAACTTTACCAATACCCAGAATATTACTGCAATGCCAAAGGCATTTCTTAAGTTTCAAAATTTGTGAAAATCTGAAGGGTGAAGTTCTGACAAGCACACAGTGAAGTTTTAATTGACACTATAAATATCCTGACTCCCAGAAAACCAAAAATCCCATAATACTGCATTTTTGAAAGTTTTCTACTTTTACTGTTGTTGTTTAAACACTTCATATGAGTCCTAATCCACTGTAGCAAAGCTCATGCTCACTTTAAGCAGGTTAGCATTCCAATTCAGCTCAAGGGGATGAGCACACTACTCAAGTGATTTGTTTGATCACTGTCTAAAATTTAGAATTCACAATGGTACCAAGAGGAGGTTGTTATATTTCCACACTGTTTGCAGTAGACAGTCTACATGTCAGAGTACCCCTATTACTTGTGCGTGCATATGAAGAAACCATTTGCAAAGTGTTTTACTATTGCAGGATCAAGACATTTAAAACAAATCTTTCAAGCAGTCGATGGAGTACAATCTGAAAGGTAGGCTTATTTTTTTTTTATTCTCCTTGTGTAGGTTTAAAACTTACTGGCCATTCACTATTTTAACTTCAGCATTCCACAACACAAAACACCTCTGGGTTATTTTTCTCTCTGCAGTACTCCACAATAGCTTCTAATGACAATGCTCTGCTGCTGCAAGCACTGGTGAGAAAACAGGTTCTGAACTATGTTTCTTTCCAAACCCTAAGCTTCCTGATGCAGCAAATTTGCCAGTTTCCACTCTGAAGTTTAGAAAAAGACACTGTACAGAAGAAATACAGGAATAAGTTGAATTGATCTAAATCAGTTAACAGAGGTGAAAAACGGCAAGAGAAAATGTGGAAATGCAGGCAAATGGTATGGGAAGAACAAGCTAAGTCAAGTGGGGAAAAGAAAGAGGGGGATTTGGGAAAAGAACTAATTGGAAAACAAAAACGTAAGGATTAATTTGGTTGGAGAGGGAGAGCACCATGACTTCTGACAGTTTCCTTACAAAAAGCTGCATGTTATTCCATTAAATGGTCAACACAAAAGCGCAATATCCTGACAATTTTAAAAAATCTCCTTAATGCATTTGTTGTTTTTTTTTGGGGGGTTGTTTTGTTTTGTTTTGTTTTGGGGGGGAAGCATTTGCTTGGGTTTTTTTAACTTTTTTTTCAGAAGAGAATCATTGACTCATATAAATTGCTTATGGCTTTATCCAATTTTCTTTGTATTAAGAGAGGCTGATGTTCTGAGCAGTACAACAACACCACAATATCTGCCACTAGCAATATTTCAGATGATATAAACAAACCAGAAGCATTTGAAATATTCAGGGCAAAATGATTTTTGGGGACACTAAGCTACAATTGAATACCAGAACTGAGATCACGTATCCTGTCTGGCCTACATCCTGCCTAAAGGCCTATACACAAAAAACTCCAATACCTATATTTGAGGCAATCTCCATAGACATCCAAGTTTACTTACAGAATATTGCTCCCTTAAGTAAAAGTGTATGGCATACTTAAAGGATAAAGGCCTGCTAAACTCCAGCAATGTCTCTTCATGGCCACTTCCGAAGACTCAACAGGGTAAAAAAAAACCCAAACAAAAAAAAAAAACACAAAAACCAAACCAAACAAACAAAAGACCCAAATCAAAACAAAAAAAAAACCTGTCCTATGACAGTATGCTGTAGCCTTCATGCTCACTGTCTGACATTTTCCATTTTCCTAATGTCCCAAGTAGAATTTCTCATTGATACCACCATCCATAAAACTAATACAATAACATTTTTTCAGTAGGCAACAAAAGATAGCCCTTTTATATATCATCATGGCTAGGCTTCGCGAATGAAGATTTATATATATATATATATATATATATATTTATATATATACATTAAGTTGAGAAACAATCCACATCTAGAACATATTTCTATATTTAAGCAGGCTTATACTCTTCAGCTGATTCTGCAAATGAAGGTTAAGGAAAAGTGACTTCTGGGCCAAGAGACAGGAAACAAGCAGCTAGCTCCACAGCCAGTTATGCTGACATAAAAATTCAAGTAAAAAGACTTGTTTGCTTTCCTGTCAGTACTGCAAAGAAAATCAAACTGCAGTTTCTGGCTCATTCAGCCCCAGAGTAATAAATATTCCGAAAGGCAGATTCTGTCCTTATTTACATTCTCCCAGTCCCCTCTGGTGAGGGTGCAGGAAACTAAGGCCACATCATGGCCAGGAGAGAATTTGTTTTGTATTCACATTGTCATGTAGATCCTGCATTGCTACAGGATCTTAGGGACCATGATACCAGTTCAAATCAGTGACCTGAGTGACCAGCAATATCCCAGTTTTCAGCTCAGTGCCTGAGTTTAGTGTTAGTTCATGTTTAAGTCACAGACAGGTATTGAGATCCCCAAGCTGTGCCTCATCAGGCACTCCAGTTCATCAGTTTGCTCAGCAGAATCTCACACACAGCCAAAACGGGACATAGCCAAAAGCAAATGTGTCAAGGACTGAATGCAACTGCAGGCCCTGACATATTGATGCTTTCTTCAAATGTACCTTCCTGACCTCAGCATTTGCCCTTCCTCAAATTCAGCTAAAATTTCAATCTGATCTTTCACCAGGGACAGCAACATCTTTAAATATTGTTATATTTAACAGATGTCTTTGACCTCTCAGCAACTGTTGGATTTATGCAGTCCTCAAAATTTACCAGACTTTAATATATCTATGGATTAAGCATCGTGTTTTTGTCCTCTCTCTCTCTCTCTCTACTCTGGCATTCTAAATTTTTTGAGCCCTGTAAAGTTAGGTCCTTCTTTGTATCTCATCTTTCATCCAAAAGTTGAAATTTCACTTCTTCAGCTATCTTTGTAGACAGAACTAGAAGCAACTGTAAGAAAGTTATCATAAGACCTTTAGTTTTTCTCCTTTGCTTTATAATTTAAAGATAGGTCTGACAGACCTACTGAGGGAAACAAAACAAACAAAAAAAACAATCACCAGATTTGGAATTGTATGTATTTTTTTATGCCAGGAGAAATATTTCAGCCAAAAGGAAAAAAAGAAAGTATAAAGAAAATGACATGCATATAAAAACCTCAGTGTTTCCCATGAAGTAGACAACTAGGCAGAAATTAGTCAGGGGAGAGACTCATCAAGATTATATTTTAAGTAACCCAAAACATCTCCAGGATTTCAGTGTATGATTGTTTCTCAAGTAGACACACAGAATATGGATGGACTCAGTGTAAAAAGCTTGTGGTCTTCAGCATGCTCAGACCAGGCCACTGAACAGGGCTGAAATTACAGAATATCACAGAAGCAGGGTAGAACAGTTCAAACTTAGGTCTGATCCTCCAGCTAATATGTCAAGGGAAAATACCTCGGACGGACATTGAGTAACACCTCAAAGTACAGATATTTCTAGCAAGAGCTAGGAAGCAGCCTCTTGCATATTTACAGAATAGGAACCATATGAGAAGACAGGAAATAGAAGAGTATTATGAAGTATTCAAATACTTCAGAAATAATTAGGAGCAAATAATAGCTTTCAACAGCTATACTACCATAATGTGAACATGGAAGAGAATTTCCAAATTATAGCTTTTATTTTTGCTGCAACATCTTTATAAGGTACTTCATATTTTAAAATAAACCTAAAAAATTTAACTTGAACAGCTATGGCATACATCACTTGCCGTGCACTTCTCTTTCAGCAGCCTCATGCAATCAAGTCAAACAATCTCTCTGTATGACATCTTCCTACTATTCTCTTAGGAAGCCATAAGAGCAATGACCCTTTGAAATCTATAACCAAGACATCAGTAGCTGCGTTTTAAAAACTGAGGAGCAAATAAGGAGACATTATTACCAAAAGGAAGAGAAAACTGCTTGGACTTTCACATACTGCCATACACCTATTCCCTGTTTGAGACTCTTTTTATTTATCTTTGCATATCCGTGTATGACACTTAAGAAGAGGTATATTTATATAGAAATGCAGCTTTACAACCTAACTTGACATGTTATTTGTTTATCAGAAAGATTATGGTATAAAAATGACAAACCACTTCCTCTGCTGAATCCCTTCAAGACTGACAAATGGGGCAAATGAGTCAAGTTTTTCTCCTGGAAAGATTCACTGCATCATATATATGACATACATGAAAGACATGATAGAACAGGGAGTCCAAGTTAAGAGCAAGAATTTATAATCAAATATCCATATGTACCTGTGCCAGGAGGGACAAGGCACTTCAGCTGGAAGTCTGCTGAGCGATTCTGAACCCCTTGCCCTAAGGTGTGACTATACAGATTTCCTGTGGCCTGAATCCACAGGGTGTTGCTAAGACTTCAAAGACTGGCAGATGCATCAAGACCTCATCTTGCAGAGACAAAGAGAACAATGTTCATCCTAAAACACAGCAACCACATCAACTCCAAGCCAAAACCATCGAGAAGGCAGTGATTATTTTACACAGTATTTGAAGAGTTAGAGAATTCCCTCATTAGGAGGATCCCCAGTTCAGTTCGACCCCAGTCTCAAAGCCACACCTCACAGCTATCAAAGTCACATCCTTGATGGCATGCTCTGAAACAGGCTGCTGAAGCCTGCCACTGGGAAAGGAGCTGCTCCAGGCAAATTGTAAGCAAAGGAACCTTGTGAATTGTAGACCCATGGCAGCATTATTCTAGGCCCTGATTCTAGATTTGTTTCTATGTTAAATGTTTTAAAAAGGCATTGGATACAACCAAGGTTTTTCCGAGCAAGGGCTGGAACCCAAGAATTCTTCCTCTGAAGTGCAAAGTTGCACAAGATTACAAAGAGACACTTTAACCTCTCAAGAGAGATAAATTCAGGTACAGTCCCTCTGTTAACATAAAAATTGGCTATAACTATTTTGAGCTGTGCTGCCAAACACAGATCCCCGCTTGGGCTTAGCCTAACACAATTACTGAATCAAATATAGTTTCTCTGCTGATTGCTTCTTTCACATGTACATGACCATCTGCTTCCCATATTCAGTTTTTGCCTTGTCACACATTTAGACCATGCATCCCTTAGGAAGGAGCACATTTCTATGTTTGCCTCTGCACAGAATGGGACTATACAGGATTCAGGGTTTTAGGCCTCACAATTAAACAAGCTATTACATTTTATGAGATTAACAATTTTAAGAGAGAGGAAATATAAGCTTCAGTAACTTAAACACTACACAGTGATGTAAGTTTGGGAAGACCAAATGTAAAAAACAAGTGTGGCTGAAGAGGAAATGAGTGTTTTATGCTACAAGCTATATTTGGTTTTCCTTTATGCAAACTGGCTAATGACTGTGAGAGTTTTACCCTTTGCCCCACTCTTAGTCATTAAAAATAAAACAATCATTTTCTATGGCAAATAATGGGGGTAGGGAAACGTTCTGTGACCTAGTGCTATGAGTGATGAGGAACCAGTCAGAGAGAATGCATTTCCTTTTAATTATCTTATAAATATTTAAAATCAAT